AAATAGATAGGTGCTAAGGGAGGAGCGGGCTGATCACGCAGGAAAACAGCCCAAGATTCCTATGCAGGGAATTTTATTTTGGACTTCTTCACATTCCTGCCTCTGTCTCAAGTCTCTGCCCCTGTTTTCTTTGTCTGCTCCTGCCTTAGGTCCCCAGCATGCCCCTTTTAGGCTTGTGGAACCTCCTCACTGCTGGATAAGGCACATGGGCAGGGATCGATCCAAAGCTACTGTTGGGGCTGGCTCCTTCCCGCCCCCCCAGGAAGATCCACAGCAGTCAAGTCTGTACTTCCTGTGCCTGCCTATCTCTTTTGAATGTCCTTCTCTGCCCTAATCTGTACTTATGGTGCCAGGTTTCTCTTAAGAATGCCCCCTTTGTCCTTATCAGCATGTAGCTTGCAATATTCTGACATTTTAACTGCAGAGTGAATGATGGTTTGGGGCATCTTAAGAGGAGTTTTAGGGTGTTTCTTTCTGCATAGGTACCTCTTCTTTCTCCTACCCAGGACTGACAAGTTCCCAGCCACTCAAGCATTAGAGATGCTACTAATATGTAAATTTTTGGTGTTCCCTCCAGGTAAGCCTTCCCAGACTTTCCCTTTCCCAGGAGCTCCCCTCCTGTCCATATCTAGCTATCTACTTACTCTCACAGAGCCCACTATCCCATGTCTTTCCCAAAAGTAGTGAAGGAATGATTAATTGGAAACCATAAGAAACAAAATGAATGGAACCACTTCTAAGAGAATTCTGATGTGCATGGGTGTGCTGGACCAGCCTCTGAAGCCCTCTCTGTTTGTGGACCCTTGCTCTTGCTGGTAGCACTGCAGCTAGGCACAAGCGTCTCACAAGCCTGACAACTGATGGGTGAGCTTCCAGGGCTTGGATCCACATTCAAAGGTCTGGGTTGGGGCCACCAAACACTGCAAAAGGCTGGGGCCCAGAACATAGTATTCTTCTTACCTTTTAGCCGTGCATTCGTTTATCCCATGCTTTTCGAACCTCACTAGGACTACAAAGTTGAAAGACATTGTCCCTCTACTCAGACAGGTGAGCCAGATAATGAGCAAACTATGGAATAGATTATATAATGAAATACAACACAAAAGAATTGCTGGGCTGGGCACAGTGGCTCACATCTGTAATCCCAGCACTTTGGGAGGCCGAGGCGGACAGATCACCTGAGGTCAAGAGTTTGGGACCAGCCTGACCAACACGGAGAAACCCCGTATCCACTAAAAATATAAAAATTAGCCGGGCATGGTGGCCCATGCCTGTAATCCTAGCTACTTGGGAGGTTGAGGCAGGAGAATCACTTGAACGTGGGAGGCAGAGGTTGCAGTGAGCCGAGATCACGCCACTACTCCAGCCTGGGCAACAAGAGCAAAACTGCATCTAAAAAAATAGAATTGCATTACTCGGTGCTGTCTGTAGATCCAGGAAAAGAGACCCCTGTCCCAGGTCCCACGTCTTTCCCCTAGTTGCATCCCTCCTCACTGGGCAGGCCTGTGGGCTATGCTGTTCCTTAGGCCATGCACCAGGTACTCAGGATCCTGTATCCTTCCCCAAGTGACTCTGAGCTGATTCTATGGCCTGCATGGGCCTCTTGCGCTGAGGTGTTCCAAGGGCCACCCATGCTACTGGCGTGCTCCCCTCCAACCCAGAGAGTGGGCAAGCGGCAGTGTTGGTGGGCAGGTAGGTGGTATGCAGAGACCTTCATTTGCAGGCTGAAGGTGGACACATTTGCACACATAAGGATTGGGGCGAGAAGGGAAGAAGGGTGGACTGGGCCAGGGCCAGCTCCCCGCTGCCATGTTCTGCTGCCTTTCTGGTTGTGAATGAAGTTGTTTTCTTAGGGTAGGAGGTTAGAACCTATTTTATGTAGCCATTTGGTTGTGAATGAAATTGTTATTTTTTTTAGGACAGGAGGTTAGAACCTATTTTGTAAGTAGCCATTCGTTCGTTGGACTGATCACATTGAATTATTTAGGAACGTGGTAGGTGGGCCTCTATTTTTTTGAGACAAGGTCTCGTGCTGTCACTCAGGCTGGCATGCAATGGCATGATGGTGGCTCACTGCAGCCTCAACCTCCCAGGCTCAATCAGTCCTCCTACTTCAGTTTCCTGAGTAGCTGGGATCACAGGCTCATGCCACCCAAGCCTCGCTAGTTTTTTATATTTTGCATAGAGACGGGGTTTCCATGTTGCCCAGTCTGGTCTCGAACGCTTGAGCTCAAGTGATCTGCCTGCCTTGGCCTCCCAAAGCACTGGGATTACAGGTGTGAGCCACCACGCTGGCGCACATGCACCTTTGAACCCCTGACATGTGGGTGGCAGGACTGGCTTTAATGAAGGCCTGTTAGAGAGGAGCAGAGAGGTGTGTGTGGGGTTCGGGGTGGGGTTTTTGTTAGTGTATGTTTCCTTTCGGGTCAGGCTTACGAATCAAATCTATATTTGGCGTGTTGGCCGGCTTTGCCAGGCTAAGTGCCAGGTGTTCCTGCAAGGCTGAATATTTGAAATGTTTATCTCCAGTAGTGAACAACTGGTCTGGGTTGTTTGTGTGTGTGTGTCTGGGTAGACAAAGCTGGGGAAGACCATTTTATTTCTTAGAATTAACGATGGCAAAGAGCTACCTCATAAACAGGACTGGAAATGAGGGGAAGAGTTCCCCGTTAAGGCTGCCCTTTTCCATGAAGAGCTCTGTGTTTTGTGTCCTGCTGGTAGGTTTTGGAGTGCCAAGAAAAACCCATTGTGATCTCAGCCGGGTGCAGTGTGGCTGCTAGCCCCGTGCCTGTTGGAGGATAGAAGAGTAATTTGAGACCAAGGAATTGTGATTGTTTCAAGCCTGCGAAGCCAAATGATAGAGGGCCATTAGCCGCATGCAGGGTTGCAATGGGTAGCCGTTCAGTTCTGTTTCAGAGTGTTGCCATCACATGCTCCACTGAAGTAGAACCCGGAGTCGTCAGGAAGGGGGTGGAGAGTGGGTGGGTTCGTGCCCTTACCGCATCTCATTTTCCCTCACTGTGGCTGTGCGAGGCCTGTGCGGTATGTTTCTGACATCACTCACCCAGGACGCTTTCTGGACTTGGAACCCTGTGTTGAGAAGCAAGAGAAATGAAAAGGCTAAAGGGCCTGAGCCGTCCGTGGTGTTTTCTGACTTCATGCTGATTGCAAAGTGAACGTTGTCTTAAGTGAAAAAAAAATAAGAGAAATATCTCGGTAAACACTGGCAGAAAATGACTCTTTCTGCCTGGGTGTGGTGGCTCATGCCTGTAATCCCAGCACTTTGGGAGGCCAAGGCAGGTGGATCACAAGGTCAAAAGTTCAAGACGTGCCTGACCAAGATGGTGAAACCCTGTCTCTACTAAAAATACAAAAATTAGCCAGGCACGATGGCAGGCACCTGTAAACCCAGCTACTCAGGAGGCTGAGGCAGGAGCATTGCTTGAACCCAGGCAGCAGAGGCAGCAGTGAGCCGAGATCACGCACTGCACTCCAGCCTGGGCGACGGAGTGAGATTCTGTCTCAGAAAGAAAGAGAGGGAGAGAGAAGGAAAGAAAATGACTCTTGCTGGTGTAATTCATGAAGCCAGGGTTATTGGAGGTCTAAGTTACTTCAGAAGCATTAGATTAACACCTGTGTTCCTCTGGCTGGTGCCCCTTGGGGAAGCACCCACTTCTAATGTGGTCTGCGTCCATCAGAGTCCAGCCAGAGAAACAAACAGTGCTGACTGTTGAAAACATGGAATTGAATTCAGGGCATCCTCACACAACTGAGGATATTGAGGTACCCCAGAGATCAGCAACAGCAAGAAGTCACCAGAGGGAGGAGGCGGTGTTCTGGAGCCCAGGAAGGGACTGGGCTTCTTAGGAAAAGCTGGAACAAGGAACTTTTGGGCCTCTGGTCAGAGGATCCAGGTCTGGGGGCAGCAGAGCTGCTCTGGAGATCCTCCCTAATGTAGAGGGGTTCTGAGAGAGCTACCCTGGCTTCTCCCCACCTCTCCCTGCCATTGTCCTCCAGTTTCCCACCCAGAGTCCTCCATTGGCCAGTCCCAGCCAGAAAGGAACTTGAGAAATGGAGCCTGTAGGAGGTAGCCTTCCTGGGATAAGAGCCGGCTGAGGATGGTGGGTGGGCAGACAGGCTGGCACCTGCCCTGGGTCAGAGAAGTAATTTGGACTCTGCTAGCCCTTGGTGAGGGCCTGGCTCTGTCTAGCACACAGCTTCTGCCAAGCCCACCCTTGTGTCTGTGCTGCTGTTCCGGATTGCCGATAGCAAGGTTAGTCCTTTGTGCCCTGATCTTGAAGTTACAGGAGAACTGGGGGCGCTCCAACCCTCCAGCTCCTTGCAAATCAAAGGAACAAGTGTTGATACATGGGAACATACGGTTGCAATGTACTTTTCATCAGCTTTTTGAAAGCTCTCATAATTAAAGCTGCTGTGGAGGGTAAAAGGCCAGGGGATAATTGTGTGGCGCTCACTGCAGGGGGAATTCAGAGGATGGCTCTAGGTGAAAGGTAAGAAGTGGGGACTGCTCAGGAGGAGGGCGATGGTTGGCAAGGAAGAGTGGGGCAGATGCTCCCAGGAGGGAAGTGGTTTCTCCAGGCTTTGGAGGTGGGGAGAAGATAATGTATATGTGGGTCTTCTGGGATGCGGATAGAGGATGGCTGTGGGATTGGAGAGGCTGGTAAAGGAGGAGAAGCTTCCGATCCTCGGGCTTGCCTCGATGGTGGAATTTCTAGTGCCTTCTGCTGGTATTTGATCAAGGAGGGTGAGGAGCCCATTTCAATTTTTACACCTGGATCTAGTGTGTCACCTGGATCCAGTGGTTTCCTTGGGGGCTTCAGTGTCTTTGGAATACCTGTCTTTGACCCCTAAGAGCACCCAGGGACCTTTGTGTTGTTCCTACTGACTCCAAACTCCAGAAATTCTGTACATTTCACATAAGAGCAAAGCACTCATTTCTTTCCCATTTTTGTTTTTTCTTTGTTTTTTTTTGCCAACAGGTGGATCTTGAACGCACCTTCACGTTTCGAAATTCAAAGCAGACCTACTCAGGGATTCCCATCATCGTGGCCAACATGGACACTGTGGGCACGTTTGAGATGGCAGCTGTGATGTCACAGGTGAGGCGGTAGGCTTGTATTTTTTCCCTTTGCTGCTCTCAACATGGACAGGTTATCAGGAACACACCTTGGCTTTATTCAGACGCAGGGAAGAGTAGAAATGTGAGACGCTTTGGGTCATCCTCTGTCTCCCCCGTCAGTCAGAAAGTGGATGATGTCTGGGCATTGTGTTCAGTGAGATGGTCTAGATCTGGATTCATGGCTTCTCTGATAGAAACAGTGATGGTTTTGCAATCAGAGCTATAAAGAGAAGCTAGACAACATGAAGAGTGCCATATTGCAGAAAAGTGACAGTCCCTTTAAAATGAAGGCAGAGCTGTTTTGTATGCAGTCTGTGCTGCAGCATTTACTGTATAATTATGCCAGATACATGTATCGGGTGCTTATGTGTGGAACACTGCACATAATGTATCTTAATTTTTTTTTTTAATAAGACAGTCTTGCTAGACGTTTCACCCAGGCTAGAATGCAGTGGCGTGATCTTGGCTCACTGCAACGTCTGTTCTCTAGTTCAAATGATTCTCCTCCCTCAGCCTCCCAAGTAGGTAGGACTACAGGTGTTTCCCACCAGGCCTGACTACTTTTTGTATTTTTAGTAGGGATGGGGTTTCACCACGTTGGCCAGGTTGGCCTCGAACTCATGATCTCGGGTGAACTGCCTGCCTCGGCCTTCCAAAGTGCTGGGATTACAGGCTTGAGCTATTGTGCCTGGCCTGTATCTCTCTCTCTTTTTTTTTTTTTTTTTGGCCTGTATCTCTTAATTCTTGACACAACTCAACAAGATAGGTTCCTTTTACAGATGAGGAAACTGAGGCAGAGAGAGGAGGGGTAGGTAACTCGCCCTAGGCCCTTAGCCAGATATATACAGAGAGAGAATCAGGATTCCAACCCAAACTGACTCTAGAATTTAAGGAATTTACCTCTCAACTTAAAGGGACAGATCATAGTACAAGCTCCAGGTCTGTTTTAGCCAACTACACTGGCCTGATTTTCTATAAAGAGAGTAGCTCGTATCCTGACTTTGGCTTGGCGCAGTGGATCACACCTGTAATCCCAGGATTTGGAGAGCTGGAGGCGGGCAGATTTCTTGAACTCAGGAGTTCAAGACCAGACTGGGCAACATGGTGAAGCTTCATCTCTGCAAAAAAATACGAAAATTGCCCAGATGTGGCGGTGTGAGCCTGTGGTCCTAGCTACTCGGGAAGCTGAGGTGGGAGGATCACTTGAGCTGGGAGGCGAAGGTTACAGTGAGCCAAGATTGCGCCACTGCATTCCAGCCTGGGTGACAGAACAAGACCCTGTCTCAAAAAAAAAAAAATTTATTGTGTAGATCAATCTGAGAAGTATTGTTGGTTAAAATTAAATTAAAAAGAGTGTCCTGGATTTGGGAAAAATAAAGGAAACCCCGTTGGTGGCAGAAGCTTTATGGGTGAGGTGCAGAGCGTCTTCTGCATCCTCGATGTGGAGTGTCTGCTCGCTCAGGGGTTCTGTCTCTCCTGTGGATAATGCCTGCCAAGTGAAAAAATAAATCCAATTAGTTTGGAGTGTTTCTCACCGTGGGCAGCAAGTCTAACCACAGGAGATGCCGAGATTCATTATTAGCCAGTGATTCGAAGGAAAAGATTCTCAAATAAATTATGAGCTCCAAAAATGGAGTAGAGGTGGTCCGCCCAACTCTGTGATCCCTGGTGTCTTCTGTCAGACCTCAGCCCCTACTGAGCATTGGGCCAGAGGCTAATAAATGAATTGCTAAGGAACTGGTATTTTTTTCTCCTTACCCTTTCATGCGCTACTCTGTCATCAGCCATTGCTACTAATGAATCATGTGTTAGTAAAAAAGCAAGGGGAACCAGGGAACAATCAAGGCTGATTAATTCAGGTAATAGATTATAATCCAGGAAAAATCTAGAACTTGCTGTGCTCTTCTGATTTTCCTAGGAAGTCTTCCTGCTAACGAAATAGTGGAGACGGGTGTAGCTAACCATGGGTGGCTACTGTGAATTTCCTGTTTCTAGGATCCATGGAGCCTAGTGCAAGTTACTAAAGTCATAGAAATTTAGAATGAGAAGCTGTAGATGGAACATAGGCAGCCCTGAGAAAGTTAGGTGGGAGGCTTCCGTTCCATACAAGGTTGGGTGTCTCATCTCTGTAGTCAGATCCGAGTTTGACTCTGGCCTCCGCCGCCTCCTGGCTGTGCAGTTGTTAAATTTTGTGGCAGTTGTTAAATTTTATAAGCTTTTTTTTTTTTTTTTTTGAGATGGAATTTTGCTCTGGTCGCCCAGTCTGGAGTGCAATGGCACGATCTTGGCTCACTGCAAGCTCAACCTCCTGGGTTCAAGTGATTCTGCTGCCTCAGCCTCCCGAGTAGCTGGGATTACAGGTGCGCGTCATCCTGCCCCGATAATTTTTTGCATTTAATAGAGATGAGGTTTTACCATGTTAGGCTGGTCTCAAATTCCTGACCTCAGGTGATCCACCCATGTCGTCGTTCTAAAGTGCTAGGATTACAAGTGTGTGCCACCATTCCCAGCAAATTTTGTAAGTTTGAATGTTTCTTGTTTTTTTAAAGAGACATGGGGTCTTGCCATGTTGCTAGGCTGGTCTCGGGCTCCTGGGCTTAAGCAATTCTCCGGCCTTGGCCTTCTAAAGTCCTGGGATTACGGGCGTGGCCTGGCCAATTTAAATTTCTTCAGCTCCATTTCTGCCCACAAAGCTAATAATACTGTTCAGGCTAGGCGCAGTGGCTCACGCCTGTAATCCAAGCACTTTGGGAGGCAAAGGCAGGCGGGTCACCTGTGGTCAGGAGTTCGAGAGCAGCCTGGCCAACGTGGTGTAACCCCGTCTCTAATAAAAATGCAGAAATTAGCTGTGCATGGTGGCAGGTGCCTGTAATCCCAGCTACTCGGGAGGCTGAGGTAGGAGAATTACTTGAACCCAGGAGACGGAGGTTGCAGTGAGCCAAGATCATGTCACTGCTTTCCAGCCTGGATGACAGAGTAAGACTCCGTCTCAAATAATGATAATACTGTTCAAAGTTGTTCCAAAAACTAAATGAAATGATAGGTAGGAAAGACGGACACACATGCAGGAGCAGTATCATAGATTTAGGGTTGCACTTCATATAATTCCCACCCCCAAGAATGCCAACTGCCCGATGGATTTATCTTTTAGCGAAAGTTCAGGTTGTGAATACAAAAGAAAGCTTTCAGGTATCAGGTAAGGTTCTTCAGGGTTGGCTAAGAAGTTTGTGTTAGGATGGCCCTTCTCCTGGGCAGCGGACCTGATGCGCGGGTTTCTCTTTGGACCATCTCTACTGCTTTTGACCTAATGCAGGTGTGAGTGGGAGCCTGGGTGGGCTGGGCAGGGCTCTGAGAATTCTTTTATCCCTCTCCTTCCTCCTGGCAGAGCCTCCCTAGTCCTGAATGCAGTATTGTCTAATCAGATTAGAATGGGAAACAGGGTTTTGTGATTTCAATGGTTGTACCTTTGTCTGGTTTTGGCTGCTAGGAGCATATTCAAAGCAAATTAAGCATGAATGGCAGGAACACTGATGCCTTTGTCTGGTGGGATTACCACCTCCAGTTGGAGGAGGGAGGGGAGCTCTCACTTGGCTTCTCATCCTAATGGTGCTGTTTTGTTTCCTAGCACTCCCTGTTTACAGCAATTCATAAGCACTACTCCCTGGATGACTGGAAGCTCTTTGCGGCAAATCACCCAGAATGCCTGCAGGTACGACTACAGCCTGGTCAGCTCAGCGTTGCAGGGGGAGCTACGTCTTCGGAGCTGTCAAGAGGATTTCAGGCAGTAGCAGAGAGACGTAAAGAGTTCGCTGTTTCTCCAGCCCTGTGCCATTGCCAGGGATTTGCTGAGGAAACTCGTTTCCATATCGTGTTATTAAAATACTAGGATTTATCTGTAAAAAATGTCCATTTTCTCTTGAAAGAGGAACTGTTTATGTCCTGAGAGCTTGGGGAAGACCTGTGTTTCCTGCCAGGTACTTCAAGGTAGATCTAGTCTTTGGGCTGTAGAAAAAACTTCTGAGTATAACAAGCTGTTTTAGAGTTCGGTAAACGACGTTTCCACTAGGACTGCTGTCATCAGAAAGACAGATGATTAGCCAGACACGGTGGCTCATGTCTGTAATCCCAGGACTTTGGAAGGCCAAGGTGGGAGAATTGTTTGAACCCAGGAGATCCAGGCTAGCCTGGTCAACACAGTGAGACCCCCATCTCTATTTTAAAAAAAGAAAATAATTGTTGAGGATGTGGGGAAATTGGAACCCTTATGCACTACTGGGAATGGGAAATGGTGTAGTTGCTTTGGAAAACAGTTGTCATTTCTTCAGAACTGTAATCATAAGAGTTACCATGTGACCCAGCAATTCCACTTCTAGGTGTAGATCCAACAGAAATTAACTCATGTCCACAGAAGGACTTATACATGAATGTTCACAGCAGCTCAAAAGTAGACACAACCCAAATGTGTATTAGTGGGTGAAAGGACACGTAAAATAAGGGATATCCATGCAGTGGGCTATTGTTCAGCCATAGAAGGAATGAAGGTCTGACATGGGCTACAGAATGGATTGACCTGGAGGACATTTCACTAAGTGAAAAGGCCAGACCTGGCCAGGCGTAGTGACTCACACCTGTAATCCGGGCACTTTGGGAAGCCGAGGCAGGCAGATAACCTGAGGTCAGGAGTTTGAGACGAGCCTGACCAATGTGGAGAAAGCCCGTCTCTACTGAAAATACGAAGTTAGCCAGGCAAGGTGGTGCAGGTCTGTAATCCCAGCTACTTGGGAGGCTGAGGCAGGAGAATTGCTTGAATCCTGGAGGTGGAGTTTGCAGAGATTTTCACTCTAGCCTGGGCAACAAGAGCGAAACTGTCTCCAATGAGGAAAAGGCCAGATGCAAAGGCCAGACGCATCTACCATCTTATTTATAGGAAACGTCCAGAGTAGGCACATCTAAGTCATAAAATAGATTAGTGGCCTGAGGGGCTAAGGAGTATGAGTCTTTCTGTGGGAGGTTTATGAAAATGTCTAAAATCTATCGTGACCGTTACAGAACTCTAAATATACTAAAAATCATTGAACTGTGCATGTTGAATGGCTGGATCGTATGGTGTGGCATTATATTTCAACAAAGCTGTTAAAAACCCAAGCATTTCAAAAACAACAAAAAGCCCTACCACAGCACGCCTGCGTTTCCTCCTCCCACATTCGGGGTTCTGAGCTGAAGCCACAGACAGGTCTCCCTGGGTTAGAACCGCTCCCCGCTGGTCAGGTGATTTATGATGGGAAAATGACCTCAGATCATTCTGTTTTCAAGGTCTCAGTGGCTTTTGGTGGTGGTTGTTACTGTGCTTTAATTTATGTGTGGATTTCGATTAGTGATAAAGTGGTTTTGGAGATAAAATAATTCTGACTCAGTAGTAAGTCCTTCGTTTTTGCCATGTTGTGTTCAAGTGAATTGTGCTGGTTTTCACGTTCTTCTGTTTTTCCCTATAGTAAATTTGGGAATAATGGTTTTCTTTTTTTCTTTTGCTTAGACCTCCCTCCAACTTCTTTTACTTATTTTTGAGGCAGAGTTTTGCTCTTGCTACCCAGACTGGAGTGCAATGGCATGATCTCGGCTCACTGCAACCTCTACCTCCTGGGTTCAAGTGATTTTCCTGCCTCAGCCTCCTGAGAGCTGGGATTACAGGCGTGTGCCACCCCAGTCTGCTCATTTTTTATGTTTTTAGTAGAGATGGGGTTTCACCATGTTGGTCAGGCCTGTCGACCTGACCTCAAATGATCCACCCACCTCAGCTCCCAAAGTGCTGGGATTACAGGCATGAGCCACCGCGCCTGGCTCCAACTTCTTTAAGGGAATTTTTGGCAATGTTTCATTAACTGGAACCGTGGCCTTCATTACTGAATGTGATACCTGGACTAGTAAGTTCACTGCCCCACCACCAAATAAAAGGTGAATTCAAAAGGGATCATGTTAAAAGCTTAGTAGCAGTGAGAGAAGGCAACCAGTCTCAAGTTCCATAAAGTATAGTTTACCAGAAATGAAGTCAGATGAAAAAGCAGAGCTCTAGTGGGAGGGGAAGTGGGCGTGTGGATTGGGCTGGTGCAGGGCAGAGCTGTGAACCACGAGGCCCAGGTGTGAATGCACAGAGGAGGCTGGAGTAAATATGTGTCATTTACCCATCAGCTCATACTCAGCCCCTGGGCTGCAGCTATGTCATTATGATTTGGGGGAATAACATAAAGGATATTAAGATATGTCACTCAGGTGGCCCAGGGTGTAGAGATAAGAGTTAAAATATAAACAATCCATGTCTTAGTCTCGGTAAGGCATACATTAGTGAAAATAAGCCCTTTTCCAAAGGGCAGATGTTCAAAGAAGGGAGAGGTGTGAGCTTCGAGGGCACTGGTGGAAGTTAAGGGATAAGGGTGTTACAGGAGTGGGAGTGGTGGCCTCAGATTTAAACATGTAGAAGTGCAATTGTGAACAATCATGTCAGGCTTGTTTTCACACCTGAGGAGATTTTATCCCTTTAATAGGAAAAGCGATTTGCAGTTCTGTGAACAGTCTGAGATGTGCATGCTATATTAGGCTGGTCTTACATTGTTTTAAAGAAATACCTGAAATTGGGTAATTTATAAAGAAAAGAGGTCTAATTGGCTAATGGCTGTGCAGGCTGTACAGGAAGCCTAGCGCCACCATCTGCTTTTGGGGAGGATTTGGGAAGCTTCCAATCATGGTGGAAGACGAAGTGGGAGAGAGAGAGAAAGAGAGGATGGAAGGTCACACACTTTTAAACAACTAGATCTCCTGTGACTCAGACTGAGAGATCACTAAGGGGATGGCCCAAGCTATTCATAAGGGATCCATCCCTATGACCCAAACCTCCCACCAGACCCCACCTCCAGCATTGGGGATCATATTTCAACGTGATTTGGGTGAGGACAGTATCCAAACTATGTCACATGCTGTGCTAGTATTTTATTGGGAGAGAAGATAAAAATAGGTAGGAGTTTATCAGAGGCATTTTAGATACCTTCCCCTCTCTCGCTCCCCAAGCAAGGCACTCAGGGTGAAGGCCCCAGCTTTCATGTGGGAAAACCGGAGTCGATTGGCCATTTCTCCTTCTTCCTGGAAACTTACTAGTTCTCGCTCATTGTCCTCCCTGGAGTTTCCCTGATATGACACATTCATGCCAGTAGCTACTTTTGGGGGGTGGGGGGTGGGGGGTGTGGAATCTCACTCTGTTGCCCAGGCTGGAGTGCAGTGGCACTGTCTTGGCTCACTGCAACCTCCTCCTCCCTTGTTCAAGCTATTTTCCTGCCTTAGCCTCCCAAGTAACTGGGATTATAGTAACCTGCCACCACGCCTGGCTAATTTTTTTTTTTTCTTGAGACGGAGTTTCGCTCTTGCTACCCAGGCTGGAGTGCAATGGCGTGATCTCGGCTCACTGCAACCTCCGCCTCCTGGGTTCAGGTAATTCTCCTGCCTCAGCCTCCTGAGTAGCTGGGATTACAGGCACGCGCCACCATGCCCAGCTAATTTTTTGTATTTTTAGTAGAGACGGGGTTTCACCATGTTGACCAGGATGGTCTCAATCTGTTGACCTCGTGATCCACCCGCCTCGGCCTCCCAAAGTGCTGGGATTACAGGCTTGGGCCACCACGCCCGGCCTGATTTTTATATTTTTAGTATACACAGGGTTTCACCGCGTTGGCCAGGCTGGTGTCGAACTCCTGATCTCAGGTGATCCATCTGCCTTGGCCTCCTAAAGTGTTGGGATTACAGGCATGAGCCACCACGCTCAGCTAATTTTTGTACTTTTAGTAGAGTCGGGGTTTCACATTGGCCAGGCTGGTCTCGAACTCCTGATCTCAGGTGATTCGCTTGCCTTGGCCTCCCAAAATGCTGGGATTACAGTATGAGCCACTGTGCCTGGCCAAAGTTGAGATAATTTAATGAATGAATACCCTTTACCTCTGCTGTTGCATGTGTCTTAAGCAGGTGCACTGTGCATTTGATTAGGATTGCACATACCGTCCCAGAATAGGAGCATAGATGGGGCAGGGTCTGGTTTCTGAATGCTACGTTCATGCCTTCTTGGTTTATTTTGGTGCAGCACGTAGCCGTGAGTTCGGGCAGTGGGCAGAACGATCTGGAAAAGATGAGCAGCATCCTGGACGCGGTGCCACAGGTTAAGTTTATTTGCCTGGATGTGGCCAATGGGTATTCAGAACATTTTGTGGAATTCGTGAAACTCGTCCGTGCCAAATTTCCCGAACACACCATTATGGTAAGTAAAGTGGGACATTCTCAAGATGGGGAAGCCATGAGGGAGTTGCTGATTGTGTCTGGGGGAGCTGAATTCGCTTCAGAGCTTTCGGTGCCTCCTCAGTCAAAGACTAATTGAGGATCATTTGGGAAAGGATAGGCAGCTCTATGCAAGATCAGAAAACTAGCTTTCCTCCCTAAAAAATAAAATCCCCAGCTGGGCACAGTGGCTCATGCCTGTAATCCCAGCCCTTTTGGGAGGCCACAGCGGGCAGATCACCTGAGGTCAGGAGTTCAGGACCAGCCTGGTTAACATGGTGAACCTCCATCTCTACTAAAAATACAAACAAATTAGCTGGGTGTAGTGGCACACGCCTGTAATCCCAGCTACTTGGGATGCTGAGGCAGGAGAATTGCTTGAACCCGAGAGATGGAGGCTGCAGTGAGCTGAGATTGCCCCAGTGCACTCCAGCATGGGGGACAGAGTGAGACTCCATCTCAAAAAAAAAAAAAAAAAATCCCCATCAACTTCATCGGATGTTGGCTCCCAATTTTTCCTAAGTATCATCACATGTTTCTTACTATCTGATACTATTTTTAATTTTTATTTTTTTTAAGATGGAGTCGCACTCTGTTGCCCAGGCTGGAGTATAGTGGCACGATCTCAGCTCACTCAGCAACCCCTGCTTCCCCAGTTCAAGTGATTCTTGTGCCTCAGCCTTCCGAATAGCAGGGACTATAGCTGTACACCACCACACTGGCTGGTGGGTTTTTAGTAGAGACGGAGTTTCACCATGTTGGCCAGGCTGGTCTTGAACTCCTGACCTCAGATGGTCCACCTACCTTGACCTCCCAAAGTGCTGGGATTACAGGCATGAGCCACCATGCCTGGCCCCATATGATACCTTTAAAAGGGGTCTGTATTACTCCTTAACAAAGAGTGTATTTTAAGATTGAGAGCACATGACTGGATTTGAGTGTGGCATGTGTAGGTCCTCCATGTCCTACCCCTGCTGCCAGCAGGGAGCTGCGCTATAGGAAGTAGGAGTCCACAGTATGAACAGTTCACCATAGTCCACTATTGAAGGTGTATCCGTTGCTGGTGTGTTTTATCTAGGAGCTTTGTTTCTTGACTTTTCCTGATGCACCTTAACTGGTTAGAATGTAGATTTGTGACTTTTGGGAAAGATGGATTTGCAGAAAAAGGGATTTGAAGCCTTGGAGTACATCCTGGGCTTTTGCAAAATCCTGTATTGTAATTATGCATGTCTTTGCTAATCCTGATGATGATGGCACATACTGATTGACTGTAGATAATTTACCTAACACTGTCTCTTTTGAATTCTGAACTTCATCTCGTGTATGTCATCATTGTAAGAAAGTTAGGAGGAAGGAGTTATTTGCTACGGAGTAAAGTCTTCTGTTAACGGACTTCCAGGGATTGTTAAGTATGTTTATGCTTTTCAAAAACACGTGAAGAAATGATCAAGAATTGTTCCAGCCGGGTGTGGTGGCGCGTGCATGTCATGCCAGCATTTGGGAGACTGAGGTGGGTGAACACCTGAGATCAGGAGTTTGAGACCAGCCTGGCCAATGTGGTGAAACCCTGTCTCTACTAAAAATACAGAAATTATCTGGGTGTGGTGGCTTGCCTGTAATCCCAGCTCCTCGGGAGGCTGAAGCAGGAGAATCACTTGAATCTGGGAGGTGGAAGTTGCAGTGAGCCGAGATCGCGCCACTGCACTCCAGCCTGGGTGATGGGAGACTTCATCTCAAGAAAAACAGAAACAGAATTGTTCCAAGGTCAGCCAGCTGTACCAGTGATAGAAGCAGTTGGGAAACAGCAAAATTCACTTCGTCTTCTATCATAGAACGGCCAGCTTCATTGTTTTTGATAATGATGTTTGCTGAATTCTGTGAAATAATAAGAAATGTATATGTGTTTATTGGTCTCAGTCCCTGGTTCTTGAGACAGAACTTCTAAAACCCTTGCAGGAAAGGGTGCTCAGAGAATCTTTTGTTCTAATATTTGGTCTGTGATTCTGGTTGCTGACACAGAGCTTCTAGAATCTTTGTAATTTGCAGAGTGATGAGAGCAACTGGCCCAGAGCTGTTAAATCCCTTGGGATTTCCTGGGTGGTAGGAATAGCATTTGATCTCTGACCCTGGTTCCTGACACATGGCTCCTAAATCCCTTGGGATTTCCTGGTTATAGCAGCGCGGCTGCCCTTGTCCTGACAAGGTGACTCTTAATGGGCTTCTGGGTGGGGGTTGGTCACCAGATAGACCAAGCCATGATTAGAAGCTTGGAGCTTCCAGCTTCATCCTCCATTTTCCAGAGAGGGGAGAGAGCTGGAAGTAGAGTTAACATCCATCATGCCTCCTTGACGAGGCCTTCACAGAGATCCCCAAAGTATGGGGTTTTGAAAGCTTCCTGGTTGGTAACACGCCTGCATGCCTGGAGGATGGCAGACCCCAGCTCTGTGGGGACAGGAGCTCCTGCATGCAGGACTCTTCCAGACCTTGCCCTGTGTCGCTTTCATCAGGCTGCTCATCTGAATCTGTCATAGCCTTTATTCATAAGATAAACGGGTAAATGTTCATAAGTGGTAATCCTTTGTATGTTTTGATCTTCTTTTTCTTGGTAGCGTGTTTGAGATTCACCATGTTAGTTTATGTCCTTGGTTCCTGGAGCTAATCTTTAATACCATCCCCTAGATGCCTCACTTGCTCTTTTTCCTTCTCTTTACTTTCCAGCTGGTTGTATCACTGTGAAACTCACTCCTTAATGCTCTTTGTGTGAGTCTGTTTGGGCTGCTATCACAAAATACCATAAACTGCTGTGTAAACAACACAAATTAATTGCTCTGGAGGTTGGAAGTCCAAAATCAAGTTGTCGGCCGATTGAATGTCTGGTTTCACTGTTCCTCATAGGTGGTGCCTTCTCGCTGCGTCTTCACATGGTGGGAGAGGCATACAGGCTCCTTGGAACCTCTCTTGTGAGGGCACTAATCCCATTCATGAAGACTGTACCCTCGTGACCTAATCACCTCCCAAAGGCCCCACCTCCTAATGCCATTGGGTTGAAGATTCAGTTTCAGCATAGGAATTTGGGGGGGATCACAGATATTCAGACCATAGCACCCCTGAAGTCCGTGTGGGCACCTGAGCTGAGTCACACTGGGGAGGTTGCATTCTTTCTGAATCTCTTTCCTCACCTGTGAAAAGGTTGAGGGTCCTCTTTGCTGGAGAATGACTGCAGAATGGGATGCTGTTTTGTAACAGCGCAGCCTTCACTAGCGTTCTCTCATCTCTAGTGAGCGTCATCGAGGGCACATGTTCTGAGAATGGAGTCAGAGATGGAGAAGAAAGATGGAGGGTGGTGAGGGGTCGTTTGTTTTAAGAAGAGAAAGAAAATGTGTGTCCCTCTTTAAAATGACAAGTGATAGCAGAGATGAGTTAGTTCTCCTGAGCTGTCCATTGCATTCTCCAAACTGGGGCTGCTGTGGGGTATAGTTCACAGCTGGGCTTGCTGAGAGCTGCCAGGTGCCTGTTGGACACCCTGGAGAGCCTGTGTGTCACCTTTGAAGGACGAAGACCAGGAAGGAGGGAAGTGTAGGAAGGAGGAGGGGGCTGGGTAAGACGAGGGAAAGGGTGCTGCCACCGCAGATCTTAGGGGTTGCTTCAGTGGGGGTAGACTGGGAGGGAGGAGATTGGTGCAGAGTTCCCCCTGCTGTCTGGAGAGCCACCAACAGCGAGGCCCTTTCTAGCACCTGCTGGCTAGCCAGCCCAGGCTTATGTTTTCATTGTTCTTGCTGGTTTCCCCAGCAATGAACAGGAGACTTTGGCAAGGTAGGTGTTTATTCCTGAGCTGTTCTGTGCCTGCACTGACCCTTGAAATCTGTGATCCATTTGGAAACCTCCAGTACTTTTATGTCCTCGGCTTTTGGACATTATGTTTTTGAAACACAATTTCTCTGATGGCTTTTGGAGGCATTGTGAAGATGCATTAACGTTTATCCAGTGTTTTGGAACTGAACAATGTAATATGACGATGAGTGTTATGGAGTGGAGTGTTATTACGACCGTTACGGTACGATGAACAGAAAGGATGCTTGCACATGTTCTGGTAGAAGCTGGCAGTTCCCAGCCCCTGCACCAGGAGTGAGGGCTTCTCACTCCCTGTGTCCAGTTTCTCCTGTTTGTTTTTGAGACGGAGAGTCTTGCTCTGTCACCATAGTGGCATGATCTCTGCTCACTGCAACCTTCTGGGTTCATCTAATCTGAACAGATTAGATCTCAAGGACCTGCTTCCTCAAGACCAAGTCAGAAAGAGCCACAGCTCAAAAGTATTTCCCAGACCCAACATAGGGACCTCAAAGTCCCAGCAAGCCTGAGTTGAATTAGAATTAGACAGTGCTCTGCCTCAGCCTCCCAAGTAGCTGGGATTACAGGCGCCTGCCACTGTGCCCAGCTAATTTTTGTGTTTTTAGTAGAGATCTTGGCCAGGCTGGTCTCGAACTCCTGACCTTGTGATCCACCCGCCTTGGCCTCCCAAAGTGCAGGGATTATAGCCATGAGCCACTGTGCCCGTCCTCACCTGTTTTTTTTTTTTTTTTCTTGCTTTTCATCTAAGACAAGCCTTACCACATAGGGGTAGGAGAAGCAGGGATTTTCAGAAAACATCTTTGGCAGAAAAGGTCCTCTTGAGGTGTTGGCTGACTGAAGAGTCCTGTGGCCATTTGCCTGGTGGCTTCCAGAGAAGAAAGAGAAGAATGTGCTCTTGGGGACATTCTTGGTACTATGGAAAAAGGCACTAGCACAGACTCGGCCCTTCTTTTAGAAAAATTTTTGTAGAGTCTTGCAGTGTTGACCAGGCTGATCTCAAGCTCCTGGCTTCAAGCAGTCCTACCTCTGCCTCCCAAAGTGTTGAAATTACAGGCATGAGTCACCATACCTGGCCAGCAATTCTTTTCTAATAACAAATCTTTGCATAGAGATAATAGCACCTACTTTCTTTGC